TCGTTTATATTTTATTATCGCGTTGTTGCGGCGCAGTATCTTCCAAAGATAGGGTAAGGGTCGCGAGCGTGCTGTGAATCCGCGAGAAATACTGTCGGCAATTGAAACGGAACGCAGTTTCGCCCAGGTTACGGCAGACGTAGGAATTAGCTTCCCCGAATTTCCAAATTCGGCGACTCCTTACGAAATATTTCCTTGGAATTACTTTCACCGTGTAACGAGTATTACATTATACATAGAAGAAACGTTAACTCCTAGAGAGAGAGAGAGAGAGAGAGAGAGAGAGAGAGTGTTAAATATGTGTATTAATTTACGATCGATAGAATTGTCTTGCAGCGAAGCCTCTCACCGGACGACATTATTTTTGGCTAACGATAAAATTACGATCGTTGTCGGTTTTCACCAGGCGTCTTATGTCAGTGTATCGTAACGTGTAGTAAAGATTTTAACGACGAATACTACGAAGCTTCCACTTTATTTTGAACACATTTTCCGACGGTTTTTCCTTCGTATTTCTGACACCGATCGCCGCAGACTCTTGTCGTTAAAACGAGAATCAAAATGTCTAAAATTGTTCTTCGAGGTAACCAGAATTTAACGACCAAAAACAGTTCGCGAGATTACGCGAATTCGCGTCAGCGAATGCGTTAACAATTGTAATAGAACAACCTTTGGCACAGAACTGAGATTTTGATTTTACCCCGTTGGTTTCATGAATCGATATATACAGTGTAAATTTGTGTATCAATAAAATATTTACCGGCTTATCCTTGTACTTATTTTTTGATCGCACTTTTATACCCCATCTGCTGATAACATCGCGAATCTGCTAAGAGCAAGCGGAGTCAAAATTTGATCGCCTGAACTGAGACTAATACGACGAATGTGTTCAAGCCGCTCGCTGCGATCACGATAGTTTTATTAAGTGTTCGTGACATTGTACATTTAGATTTCCTAGTTCCCGTTAGTTAGGTTAAAACAAACTTTACGTGTATATTTTTATCACATGTTACATTAGGTATCGAAAAATTGGTGTAAAAATGCAGATTTGTAATAACGAGCCGTAAGTTTCTATTCTCTTTGGACAGTTAACGCACGAATTTCATTTTAGTACGTATTGTAGGCAAAAGCGTATGCTAACGAATACGGTTCCTGACTCGATGAAACCGATTCGAGTAAGTACAATTATACCGCAATTATATATCTTGCAATGTAAAGTATTTCTTTCGCTTCTTAACAAAAAAAAACTCTCTTCGCTTCCCATATACGCCGACGTAGTATTATTGGAAATCAAATGTGCCTATGGAAAATGAGACGACGTATCGGCTCTCCTATTGGGAGTGTCCTCAAAGTACCATGGATCCGATTCTACCACGAAATAGTTTAATTACCGGCGACGGTGAAATAACGGACGAAACAACGTATAACGTGAGTTGTTGTTTTACAGTCATCCGCCAGCAATTATCATTTTTTAACAGTCTTTGCGACATAACGTTTTTCTGCGATTCGATGTTCCCGAAAGATCATGATATATTTGCGGTTGCACAAATGCGAGAACATTGTCGCGTAAAGTATCGCATGGAGGAAACCAAATTTGACTCTAACGATGATTTTTGACCTAAACCAGCTCTCTCTTATGATGGCACAAAAATCTCTTTGCAAAGAGATCAGAACCAGAAAGAAAGTTTCAGAGATAAAATTAATTAGCGATTCTGTTTTCGCGACACGACTGCAACACAAACGAAGAGAGACGGTCTCTCACAATTGCAATTAAAGTTGGCCATTGTGTTCGAAAAGCGAAGCGTATTCCGTGGAGCCGGGTCTCGTACAAATCGTGTCGCGTGGCATTGTTTTAGGGCAGTTACCTCGGCAATTGGTGCATACAGCCAGATGCTTCTATCAGGCCGTGCGAGAAGCAATGGCTCGGCAGAGGTCCCATTCAGGACGTGACTACTCAGAAACACGACTACTCGTGGAAATGTATTCAACCGGTCGCGCCGATCTTACCTCAGCCGAACCTGTATCCCTATCCGGATGCATTATCTGGTAAGAACAAACGAAACGAACAGTCAAAATTAGGGAGAATTTACTGCAATCGCTAGACTCCAGATTTATTGGAAGAACTTGAGAACATCTACGTACTGTTTGCAACTCGCTTAAATTATTGAAGAGAGGAAGACGTTTTATATTCGATAAATTCTCGTTGCAATCGCAGAAAAGATCATTTTTATTTCGCATAAACATCCCCGGTCTAGCAATCGCAATTTCGCTGTTTTCCTAAGGTCAGCCAGAGTGGCTTCATGGCAACCATTGATGAAAAATCGTATTTCTTTTAGATAATACAACGTACAACCTAAGTTACTATCAATCGGGTTGCAATCTGCCCGCGATATCTTACGCTCCTATAAGGAAATACGTTAAATCGGACATTCCGATAGAAGACTGTACAACGTACAAGCTCAGTTACTGGCCAAACGAAGCCCCCCCGAAAGTAATTCGATTTTCTAGGATATTTATCCTATATTATTCTACAAGTTTGTAACAATTTGGAGAAACGAACTTTTAAATATTCGATATTCGTAATGTAATCGATATATTTTTACATTTTTTCACCGATACCAACCGCGCTGTATCTTACAGGAAAAACCATGGTGTCCCGAACTAAAATATACGCCTCCTGTGAACCCCATGGACGGCTGCACAACTCATAAATTGAGCTTCTGGCCGCATTCGGATCAAAGACGATCGCCCATTGTAAATCCGGAGAACGACAATTTATTGAATGCCGGGTGTTGCTCCGACAACAATACCACATACCGTCTCAGTTATTACGGCTCGGAAGGCGATAAGCAAACGCCGATTCGACATCCGGAAAACGTTCTGTTCCCATCGTGTCCCTTGTCGTACGACACGATTCACCGGGTAAGGAAAATTAGTGAAGATAATATATATATATTATAATAAATATATATAATTTATTATAATTATATATATAATCGGTCCACCGATCGCATATATATTAATATATAATAATATATAATGTATATATAATATATATATGCGATCGGTGGACCACGGATTTTCGTGCAAATACCCGCGCGATTGTACGATCGATGCGTCCCTTTCAGATGAGTTTCTTAGGAAACTGGTGCGCGAAACCGGAAACGTCGATAACACCGTGCAGCAAGCAAATGTTAGGCAGAGGACCCATGCAGGATGTAACTACCCAAAAGCACGACTTCACGTGGAAGTGCATACCAACAAATTCAGAAATTCGTCCCGAGGATAATCTTATCTGTCCAGCCATAGCTTTGGAAGGCACGTCGAACGTTAACACTTTACCGACTGACAGTCGATTAATCGACTTTTTGTTCCCAGCGCTTACCGACCGGTAGCCGATTAATCGACCTTTTTATTTTCCGTTAGATTCGATTAGGTTAGACTGGCAAGTAGCAAGCAGCAAGCATTTCTTATTTTGTATTCTGATACTCGTTGCTTTGCTCCGAAAACACCCATATTTTTATACAGTTTATAAAAATTTAACCTTCACGATGAATGAAAAGGACAGCGTTGGTGAGAGTTTGATCTCGATGATCTGTCAGATTGTCTTCACTGCTCTTCAGCAAGTGGTATCGATGACGAAAGTGATAGCAGTAATGTAATGATTCGAAAGCGACGTTCTGTATTACCACTGATATACAATGATTCGGAAAACGATGATATAAATAATAACGTTGAAGACAGCAGTGTCTCGGACGATACGCGGCTGAGTGGCCGGTGAGAAGGGCATAGGATTCTCGAACCGCTACCGGTCGGTAAAGCGTTAATATCGCGTTTACGTATTTACCGACGATTGTACGAAAAAGGACAGTGGACGATGCGAAGCTTACCGATCTACCGTGTCAAAGTTTGTCCGTTGATTTCAGGTTGCACCACTCACAAACTTTCGTATCTGTGCAACAGCGGCCGAGAGATGACACCGATACAAAATTACGCACCCATACGCCGGTATTGCTCCCCGAGCATCCCTATGGAAGCGGAAACCACTATGCAACTGAGTTACCAACCCGTAGACGTTCCAGACAATGTCCCGAAACCATGGGGCGAGAAGCAACCTTATTGTCCTCCCGTTACACCAATGGAGAACAATACCACATACAACACCAGGTTTTACTCAGTTCTGTTCTTTACCTTTCAAGGCGTCGAATATCGAACAATTTCCATTTTCTATTTTTGCTGCAGCTTTTGTGCGGAGAAATGTCCTGTTCGCCGGTACCACCTATTTTGCGTTGTTTTCTATAGAATTTCAGTTTCATTTGTAGTTCCTAGACATCGCGATCGCTTAATGTGATTTAATTAATGTGATTATTATCTTNCGATTAATCGACCTTTTTATTTTCCGTTAGATTCGATTAGGTTAGACTGGCAAGTAGCAAGCAGCAAGCATTTCTTATTTTGTATTCTGATACTCGTTGCTTTGCTCCGAAAACACCCATATTTTTATACAGTTTATAAAAATTTAACCTTCACGATGAATGAAAAGGACAGCGTTGGTGAGAGTTTGATCTCGATGATCTGTCAGATTGTCTTCACTGCTCTTCAGCAAGTGGTATCGATGACGAAAGTGATAGCAGTAATGTAATGATTCGAAAGCGACGTTCTGTATTACCACTGATATACAATGATTCGGAAAACGATGATATAAATAATAACGTTGAAGACAGCAGTGTCTCGGACGATACGCGGCTGAGTGGCCGGTGAGAAGGGCATAGGATTCTCGAACCGCTACCGGTCGGTAAAGCGTTAATATCGCGTTTACGTATTTACCGACGATTGTACGAAAAAGGACAGTGGACGATGCGAAGCTTACCGATCTACCGTGTCAAAGTTTGTCCGTTGATTTCAGGTTGCACCACTCACAAACTTTCGTATCTGTGCAACAGCGGCCGAGAGATGACACCGATACAAAATTACGCACCCATACGCCGGTATTGCTCCCCGAGCATCCCTATGGAAGCGGAAACCACTATGCAACTGAGTTACCAACCCGTAGACGTTCCAGACAATGTCCCGAAACCATGGGGCGAGAAGCAACCTTATTGTCCTCCCGTTACACCAATGGAGAACAATACCACATACAACACCAGGTTTTACTCAGTTCTGTTCTTTACCTTTCAAGGCGTCGAATATCGAACAATTTCCATTTTCTATTTTTGCTGCAGCTTTTGTGCGGAGAAATGTCCTGTTCGCCGGTACCACCTATTTTGCGTTGTTTTCTATAGAATTTCAGTTTCATTTGTAGTTCCTAGACATCGCGATCGCTTAATGTGATTTAATTAATGTGATTATTATCTTATTAATTAATGTAATTGTAATTAATATTATTAATGTCTTAACGTGATTACGCGTATTTGTTGCAGTTATTTTCTGCCTGGCACGCCGTGCTTGCCGTGCCCGCCGTGCTTGCCGTGCTCGCCGTGCCCGCCGTGCTCGCCGTGCTCGTAAAAATCAGTGCCAACCGAATTAAGAAAATTAAATGCACGTGTATTCGTCCATTGTGTACGTAGAAGGATACGGGAAAATTATTAAGATGTTATCGAGACGGTAATAATAAAGAATGTTAAAAGCTGATTTCACGAATGTAAAGAGATTAAATCGGCGATGAAACCGGGTAACGACAGAGAGTTAATTCTGTATACGAAGCGATTTCTTTTTATGTTTTATCGAACGACACGTCGGCCGAAGATAATTTCGACCCCCTTATCCGGCTATATACTTTGCTAGAAAGCGTGATTGATGTTGATCCGGTTAGTCTTTTTTCGAGCGAGCGAAGCGAGTGACCAACTCCGACGATTTTCACCTTTAACAATTCAACATTATACTTTCCTTGTTAATAAGCGAAAGTGGCGTCGATCCGGCTTTTTACGAGCAAACGAAGCGAGGGAGAAACTCCGACGATTTTCGCGCTCGATAATAGGAAATATCTCGGAAACGAGTTCACAGGTTATTAATTTGCATTTTTAAATTTTATTAAACACATCTTTTTTTTGTATTTTTCATGCATCTTGTTTGAAATATTTTTCATAACATAAACTACAGACTAGTAAGAGCCGGAACGATGAACAATATCGATAAGTCGATTTTCACGACTTTTACAAATGTGAATTATCGTCGCATCGTAATCTCTTTTCCGTAAGATGTAGATTACACGTTGTTCTCAGAAAAGAGAAACGATCAGTCGGTAAATAATTTCAGAATATCGGGACTGCCAGTCCCTATTATTCGGTACAGTAAATTTTTCCTAATTCGCGCTCAGCTTGGAAACAAAAATGGACGATTTGGGAAGAGGAGGTACGAATATTCGAGCCTTGCGGCTTAATAATTATTGATTATAGTTGCTAACTATAAAAACGAGCCCACAAGGCTCAAATAATCGTATCTCCTCTTCCTAAATTACCTTTTTTCGTGTACAAGCTGAGGGCTTGTACACGAAATATATATATATATATATAATTTCAAACGTTCCTATATCGCTTCATCACCGTTCTAGCCTATCCTGTTCTCTGCTCGAGCCTTGCACGATTAAGTTATATGATTATTATGTAACATATTAACGAATTGCGCGTACGATCGATAAGGTTGCAAAGACCGTCGAGAATAAAAGCGATCGGTGCACTTTAAGAAAAGGTCAATGTGTTTCCGATACTTCCAGACCTGGTTCTAGGCACGATGCTGTCCGTAAATCTAATGATCACTTCCGTAATCGCCATATTTCCAGTGAGAAATTGCGGCAGCCTTTCTACGCCGTCGCGTGGCTGACGATCGAACGGATAGCCCATGGGACGTGCGTCAGGATACTTCCTATCTCTCAAACCGCAATAACTGACTGCATCCGCGCAACCAGTCGATTCGCTTTGCTCGATCTGCACGTGGAAAAATAATTCTTCTCATTTGCACTTCGCGAAACTCTCAATTTGCCTATAAAAAATACTCACAACATCGCCAGCGTAATCCGACACCATGACGAAAAGATCCGTGCGATAGCCGTCTTTGGTACCTTTGGGTACCAACATGTGTTGCGGCCACCCGCAACCGCAGAAGTTGAAAGCATCCAAAGCCAGGGCTTCCGTCGGCCTGTTCTCTTCCAAATTGCGGAACGTTCTCTCGAAGGGTATAGTTACCGAAGATTCCGTTGATTTACGCTCAATCGTGTTTTGTCCTGGTCGCACTACAACGTAACGGGATTGTAAAATTAGAAATGCCTCAATTTGCGGTCTAACGTGTACAAAACCGAAGCATTTACAGCGCACGCAAGAACAACGTTGTTCGATAAAGTATGAAAATCTTGATTCGGAGCATGCGAATCAAGGAATCTGCTTCATACGCGTGTACAGAAGATAGCAGAACGTGTACAATGAAAGCAGCGTACGTATCACGGTAAATTTGTCCATTTCGATCATCATATTCTTCTGTTGTCTGTACGTGAAAGGTAGACCGCGTTCGTCTTCCTTGGGGCCGATGAAGATGCGTACGGTTCCTTTCTTCGTTGCGTTGTCGCGATTGTTTACGATAATCGTGTACGTGTAGTCGGCATGATTCAGATGAGTGAATCTGACGAGAACCGGTCCTCGGGGAGTGAAGTCGAGACCGCGGGACAAATCTACGACGCTCTGGGTCCAGAAAGTGTTCAAAACGTTGCGCTGCTGATTCGTTGTCACTCGAACATCCTCTATTTCGACGCCTGGATAATCCAGCTGCAACACCACGGAAGACGTATTGGTAACTTACTGGTTAATAATAGACACTCTATTACGTACTTGTTATGTACAAACCTGTTGAACGCTATATTCGGGCAGGGTGCTTTTATATTCTTGGAAAACATCGTCGACGAAAGCATGCCATCTGTAGAACATCGGATCCCTCATGTCAACAGCTTGATCGGTCATGACACCGAAAGATTCCTAGAAACAACGGAAAATCGAGTTGTACGGTCGATTACTTTTTAGAGCTGGCGGCAGCAAACATTTTAATTATTATATTATATTACTATCAGACTGTGGATTTTATGCATTTCTAACAAAGTTGTATAGGCAAGATACAAAACGATAAAGACATGTTGGACGAATTCAAGAATATTGGAAAAGGAAAGACAGTTTCATCCAAATTGTTTCAGTTTCTACTTTGCAAAAAAATCCGCCGTCCACGGTAAATTCTCCCTAATCGACGCCGAGATTCTGCGCAAAAATGGACAGTTAGGGAAGAGGAGATCCGATTGTTCGAGCCTCGCGGCTCGTTTTTATAGCCGTTGAGAATCGGTGACTATAACAAACGAGATGCGAAGCTCTAAAAATTGCATCTTCTCTTCCCAAATTGTCCATTTTTGTGGACCATCCGAGCGTCAATTAGAGAGACATTACTGTACTTACTATACTCGAACATTTACCAAGTAACGATGATCCGGATCGTGGCAGTAACCGATAAGAACGTGGCCCATGTTATGGAGATCGCCGTACAGGTTTGGATTAGGGGAGAGGATAGTAGCTTCCACGATGTTCCCCAATACGTCGATGCCAGTTTTCTCGGTTAAAGGTATCCGTTCGCCCCTCGGGCCGGTCACAGTTCCGGTATGAATAGCTTCGTAAATACGATCTCGCCATCTTTCTAAATCCTGGATGTCGACGTTCAATTGATCCACCGGCCGATTAACGTCTTTTAGAACGGCTCCTCTGTGGCGCGCAGGCCACGTACGAGTGGAAACGATAGAGTCCAGTTTCGGGAAATACGCTTCCGGAATCGGCTCGCGCCAGTTAATAAACCGTTTCACGCGACTAAGCCGATTGCACAAACGTTCGCAGTTGTATCTAAAAACGTATGAAATTAGCTGTCTTTGATGTTCAACGATAAATTGGTCGCTAGGGCAGCGGAGCCGAATACAGTAATGTCTCTCTAATTGACGCCCAGATTGCGCACAAAAATGGACAATTTGGGAAGAGGAGATACGATTGTTCGAACCTTGCGGTTTATTTTTATAGCTATAAATTGTCCACAATTATAAAAACGAGCTTTCCACAATTATAGAAACGATATATATTATTTATATATTAATTTAGTGGACAATCTGAGCGTCGATAAGGGAGACATTACGGTACCGTGGGCTAACCAGTTGCTGTGCCTTTGGTTTTATCGTATCAACACTGTTGCTCCACTTTTAATGCAGAAATAAACGAAAGAAAGGATAACACAGAATTGATTACATCCGAAAACGAACCAAAGGCACTGTAATTGATCGCTCCACGGTAATCGGGCCCTACCACCCTATAATTTTCAACCATCGCACGATTCCAAAAAATAGCAAGGAAAGTCTATTTTTGATTTAGCATAAACGTACCGAGCTTGGATTTGTTGATGCATGTAGTAGAAAAGTTCGCCGCGACGATCTTTGCTCACGATTTTGATGTTGCCTTCGATCGGGTAAACCAAATGCCAATGCCAGTGATGCAAATTGATGCCAATGTCTTCTCTCCAGTATGCGACGCGATGTTCCTCGTCGAGGTCCGAGGCGGTGTAATCGCGGGGAATCTCAATCGGGATCTACGTACGAGGAAAACATTTCAATGTCGAGCGAATTTCCTGGTCTTGGAAAGTGCAACTGTATCGAGACGATTATTATTTATTTCCTCGTGCACTTCCTCACTGTTTGCTCACTGTTCTCGCGACAAAATAGAGAGAATAACAACTTTGTAACTAATATAACTGCTAAAATGTATGACTCGGTTACGGCAGCAACATGCGCGTACCCTCGATCCTGGCGGCACAAGGTTCGCTTCCTCCTGAGCTCTGGTAAATATTCCGCCATCGACGAATTTATCCGGGAATACTTCGGTCAATGGTGGCACTGGTAGCTCCTTCGTATCAGGACGATGCAATATTGCCACGGAGAGAGCGTAAATGAACATGTAGGGGTTCACACGATCGCGACAGTAAACTGCTACAGACAGGAAGTCTTCGTACGTCCTCATTCCTGTAAAACATAAAATCACAATATTACAAAATATTAGACTACAGAAATTATTTACATAAATTACGCAAATAATAAAATGTACCTACGGTTATTTCGTATCAATTATAGCAACGCAAAGTGTAGCAAAGGGAACAGCTGACATTTGAAACGCTTTTAGAAAGTATTGAAACAATTGGAATCGTTGTTGCAAACTTTTATAGCCATGTAGCGTTAACTTTCGTGCGCGATGTAACGCGTGCAAGTGATAGAAAAATATTTTGCACATTAAATACGCGATTTATTTGTTTTTTCTTCGAGGAATAAAGTAGTGCGAGAATCAGCGTGAAATACTACGAACCCATAAAAATCTCGGTAAGCCGAGCTGCTAATTTTCGATGCGTGGGTATGAACACCGAGAAAGGCTCGCGCCGACCTAATTGCATAGGGATGCTAAGGTCCGGAAGGGAGATCTGTTTCACAGGAAGCTTCGACTCGGTATCATCGGCGAAGCGGTTGAACACCTGTGTTGCTACCTTTCGGTACCTGTCGGGCTGCGAGTACAAATACAAAAACACGTTAAGAGCGATCGGCGAATGCGGGAATATGGCTCCGAGTAGGTTCGGGCCGAAAGATGTCGAAAAGGAAGTTGATTACGGAAAAATACTTTACCAAATAATCATCCGGTATGTCGAAAGCGACTTTCTTCTCACCCTTGGGTACGTAGACCGGCTCGGCAGGCCGATCGAACAGGTACAAAATACCTGATTTATCTTTTGCCATCTTGAAGAATCTTTTCTCGAACGGATTAGAAAGCGAAAGTAACAAAATACGCGAGCAACAATTGCACGATCTCTGTAACGTAACTGTGATCTATCGATTCCGAATGCAACGAAGGTAAAGAAGCGCGTCTAACGACGTTTCCGAATACGATTTACAAAAAAAAGGATACCACGTATCCTTTATAGTAAACTGTTCCAGGAAAAAGCGGTCTCCTCGCTAACCGCAAAATCCGCCACCCTTGTCTAAAGCAGGCTGAACTAATCAAGAGTAAGACAGATTACCGATATGTGTCATCCGCTGAAATCCGCTCTAAGAATATCCTGTTTGTCACGGAAACAGATTATCGTTAGACTCGGTAATTTGACATCGCGATACGTACATAATACTGCTGCGTTTTATACGTTACTATAAATATTTCAAGGATTTACCCTGCAGTTTCTGTGTATTATTGTTATATGTTAATGTGGTCAACGCATGTTAAATACAATGCCTTGTTTTGAATGATCCACGGCGAAAAGAATGTACGCATTTTGTCGAAACGACAATCGTCTAAAAAAAAAGAAATCGATTTTATTATGAAATTTTTATCATAACGATAAAGAAGTACTGTCGCGTTGGAAAATCGGTGCACTTGAAACGTTGATTTGTTAATTGTTGATTCGAATAGCTACATTCTATATGAAGGTTTGCAAAGGAAATTCATTAATTCATT